TACAAGCTTGCGGAGATCAGGCTTGGGAGGAAACACGGGTTCCACACACTTAAAGGGAGAGAGATGGGTGGCTGTGGGTGTTGGGGGTGGGGCTTCCCCCGCCGGCCATCTGGCCGGCGGCGGGGGGAACCTTCCCCCAAAACGGGGGACCCCTGGCAAACTGGGTTTTTTGGCAACCCTACTTCAATGCCTGGCCCCACTCTGGTTCTAGGGCTTTGCCAGAGAAGGCCCAAAGCACCCTCCCTGCTCTCAGGGCAACTCCCTTCTCGGCCAGAGCAGGCCCTGACATACGACTGAATATGAGTTGTGAAGAACCCAGGCAGAGTGCACGACAAACAGTTTTTTAAACAAATACGGCCGTTAAGTAAAGAGGAGACGAGTTATTAAAATGCGGCGGAAATGAATTAAAACAGGGACTCTACCACTACACAGGGCGAAACTCACAAGGAAAGAAGCTGGCGGGAACACAAGCAGCCCTCCTGCCCACAACTGCCTCCTTTAGTTCCTACTCTGTTTCAAGCGCCCTGCCCTGGATGGGCCAGGACAGCCTGATCTCGGAAGCTAAGCAGGGCCGGCTCTGGTCAGTCCTTGGAGGGGAGGCCACCCAGGAGGAAGTCCCAGGGCTGCTGTGCAGAGGCAGGCCCAGTGGCAGAGGCCGCCTCCGAGTGTCCCTTGCCTCGGAGACCCCACGAGGGGTCACCACAAGTGGGCTGCGACTTGGCGGCACTTTCCTCCACCACCACTACGTCAAGGCGCCCAGCAGACCAGAGGCTCAGCTTCCAGGGAGCGCCCCCCCCTCCTCTGTGCATATCTGCTCTCTGGTAACCCTTTCCCCCTCCATTTCCCCCCAGCCCAGGCATGAAGCTCAAAAAGCTGCCTGGGAAATGTAGGCCTATTGCACAATTTACACAAGGTCTCAGGCCTTGAGGAAGAAATAATAATAATAATAATAAGAGATTGGATTTATACCCCATGGTCCTTCACTTGGAGTCTCAGGGCGGCTTACAAACTCCTTTCCCTTCCCTCCCCACAACAGACACCCTGTGAGGTGGGTGGGGCTGAGAGAACTCGACAGAAACGGCTCTTTTTCAAGGACAGCTCTTATCAGAACTATGGCTTGCCCAAGGTCATCCAGCAGGTGCAAGTGGAGGAGTGGGGAATCAAACCCGGTTCTCCCAGATTAGAGTCCGCACACTTAACCACTACACCAAACTGGCTTCCTACAGGCGGCTCATCCTCATCCTTCAGCCCAGGATCGTGACCGGGGGAGGGGGAATCATAAAGGTGAGGAAATCTGATGGTGTCTGACATGTCAGAATCCTGAGGGTCAGCTGTGTTGGTCTGAAGCAGCAGAACATATTTAGAGTCCAGTTGGGCACCCTTAAGGCTAACCAAGGTTTATTCAAGGTATGAGTGAATTTCGTGTGCACATTTTCAAATTGAAATGTCAGGATCCTGCTACACACACAGCCTGTTAAAACGCTCTTTAGTCTTGTGTAAGCATAATGCCTTACCAGAGCTTGTTGACTTAATCCTGGTTAAGATGCCAAACTCACTAAGACATCCTAGTTAACTTGCCAAGCTGAATGCCCACTCCCAAAGGGTGTGCAAAGGGAAATGCGCTTGTCACTTTGTAAGCAGACAGTACAGAGGTGCAGAGTCTCACCCCCTAACCATGCTCTCAGTGCGTGGAATGCTTCACTGTGGTTGATGCAAAAATTTCAATTTCACACCTTCGCACGAAGAGAGGAAACTGCCTTAGACCAAGTCAGACCATTGGTCTGTCAAGGTCGGTAGTGCCTGTTTTGAGTGGCAGCAGCTCTCCAGAACCTAGGCAGAGATCCCTAATATGACTTGCTACCGGATCCTTTTTTAAAAACCGGAGATGCTGGAGACTGAATCTGTGACCTTCTGCCTGCAGACCAGACAACACTTCCACGGAGCTATGGACCTATCCCCTGGTAATGCCTGCAATGAATCTTAAGGCACAGATTAATATTCAGATTTAACACTTACCCACCATTAAGGAAAGCAAACAATGATAATCATAACATTTGTAGAGGGTCTCAAAAGCGGGAGAAACAGACCAAAATGAAACCACGAGCAATACTCACTGGCAAATTCAACTTAATTGCATCCACTGGTTGGTAGAAGGGCCATGCAAACTGATGCTTCCACAGAGTCTTCACCACAACATTTTGCATGTATTGCAGCTGGTTGGTCTTCCTTCCGGGTTTGTTGGGGTTGGTGAACTCTGGGGGAGGAGGGTTGACAGGGCCCTGGGGCGCCTGGATCGCAGATGTGATGGTGGACATTTTCTCCTGCGTCTGCGTCTCACTTGTGGTCAAGCCGACAACAACAGCCAGCGCAAAGGAAAGGTCTGGCTTCTTTTAAGATCCCTGAATGGGACTGACATCCCATTTCCAGGGACGGACCATGCAGCCTGAGTGGGAGGGGGAGAGCGGAGTGCTGAGATTTCTGTAAGAGGAAGGAGCAAAAGAAAGAGAGTTGAATAACAAAGGAAAAGACCCTCCAGTCATATCACATTCTGCTGGCACTGAAGGGGGTGCCCAGAGGGAAAGCATATTAGCCCGTTTCACTGGTACCGGCTACCTCCACAAGTTGAGACCTTTAGAAGGGGAAAGAAAGAACAGTGGCGGAAGTGTACATTTGCAGCACCAGCACCCGAGGTTTCGACCAGAAGGCCTGAAAATCAGACCCCGATTCCATACTCCTGGTGTTAACAATGGTGCTAAGTCAAGACAAGGCCAGGTGGAGCCCATCTGGGGGCTCGCCAAAACACCAGTCCCACCTTGTGCCTGTGTTACAACTCTCAGACCTGCCCACTAGGCTGGCCCTCTGTGCTTCCAGGCGGATTCCTTTCTGCTCTGGGGACCTGTTGGGGCGGGATCTTGCCAGCCAGCACTTAAAACTTGGGCACCCAGCAAGCAGCCTACAGCAGGGACGGAGCCACTCCTGCTGGAAGGCTGGGATGCACGCGCACAAGAGATGGGAAACGTCCAGAAATATTGAAGCCGTGGGGGTGGGGGAGGGAATGGAAATTTGGATAAAATATTTAAATACATGCAGTATTTATTTTCCTGTCAAACCTAAACATATTTTATTGCTTTACCAGCATTAGATGCATCATTCAGAATGTAATTAGTATATAAAATTACACTATTCTGCATATTTATGGAATTCAAAAGTATAAAAGCCTTAATTTTCTACAAGTAGGGTTGCCAGGTCTGGGTTGGGAAATACCTGGAGACTTTGGGGGTGGTGCCGGGAGAGGGCGGGGTTTGGGGAGGGGAGGGGCCTCAGCATGGCCCAATGCCACAGAGTCCACCCTTCAAAGCAGCCATTTTCTTCAGGGGAGCTGATCTCTGCCAGCTGGAGATCAGTTGCAAAAGTGGGAGATTCCCAGGCCCCACCTGCAGACTGGCAACCCTATCTACAAGAAAAATTGTAAATATACCCAATTTTTGAGTGAGAGCTGCAAACTGTTGGACCCGATACTGCCACATCATTTGATAGGCAGGAAAAATTGAATGTTGAAAGTAAAAAAACAAATCTTGTAGTAAACCAAAAGTGCATTATTTGGACAGAAACAGTCTCACACAGTCATAATCGAGCTAACAGTATATTTGAATATCAGTAAAAGTTTACAGTTTTTAAAACTCTGAAATCTTCAATAATGCATAACGATCACTGGCAGTCTTCAAGCAGCGTCTGGACAAACCCTTGTCAGGGATGCTCTCGGCTGGTCCTGCACTGAGCAGGGGGGCTGGACTAGGTGGCCTCTGTGGCCCCTTCCGACTCTGGGATTCTGAGATGGCCTCTGTGACCCCTTCCGACTCTGGGATTCTACGATTCTATCAAACACCCTAGCTTATTAACGGTTGCAAAAATTATGCACATTTAAACAATGAACATATTTGTGAATACACACACACACATACATAGAAATTATTAAGTATAAACAAATCAGATTTGAGAAAGATTGGTTAAAAGTTGGGAAATCCCAGAAGGTGCCTGAATGCACCACAATGTTGTGGGGAAGCACAAAATAAACCCGTTCCCCAACAGATGTGAGCCCCCAGGGCAGATAACCTGCATGGGAATGGTCGGCTGCATATCCCAGGTCACGTTACTGTCATCACCGCATCCCTTTAATCTAAACATTCCAATTTTTTCTCAAAGTCAAGGCACCAATGCTGGCGAGGTTCCACAGGTCATCACCAGCAACCATGAAATTCTTCCAGCATCTACCTGCTAAGTCCCAGTATGATGAAAGGGACTCCCCCCCCCTCACACACACACACACAAATCCTCTGTACAACTCTTCAGGTGGGAGAAAGATCTCTTTGCTCCTCTGAAAGCTTCTACCTAGAATGAGAGTTTGTTGGTCCTTAAGGTGAGCCCACCGGACTCAAACTTTGTTCTGCTGCTTCAGACCAACACGGCTGCCCCCCCCCCCCCCGGACCTTTTCCCCTCTTTTTGCTCTCAGTAGAGCACTGTGAACCCTCTTCTCTCACACACGTACAACTTTTGTGAAAACAAGTCTCTTTTTCTTAGGAGTGAAACTCTGAGCATAACTTAAGCACACCACAATTAGAGCACCTGAGACATCTGAGGCGTTTAGTTTGGCCGTTAGACATGCACAACCCCAACAGTTGGGCATATAATGAGATAATACGCTCTTGCAGCCAAATGGAGGATCTGGAAATCTGATTTGCTTATCGTATCAAAGTGTTTATACTGAAAAACAGCAACCTTACACTAATTTTTTAAAGTTAAACATGTGTGACCATCATCTAGATAAATGACTGGTTCTGAAACACTGATGAGATAATAAAACAGATGCAACTAAAATATACCTGATGTGTATTTATTACCTTTCTAAAGCAAGATCAGAAGGCCAAATTTAACTCTTAATCTCTATTAAAACTCAATAAATCTAACATTTCTGTAATGGTTTTAATTAGCTGTCAAAGATAAAAGAAAAACCTTGTGCAATCAGCCATGACCAACAGATGAACCTGAGTTCACTTCTATGTGAAAACATGCATGATCAGCAAGGAAATTTGCGATGTAACCAAAATCCTGCTACAGGGTGAGCCATACCAGACCTTGATGCTGGGCTGCCAATGGGGAGAAAGGGTCTGGGGGGGACAAGATTCAGGGACCCCACCCCCAAGTCGGCAGGAGGGCCCTTGAAGCCAGTGTCAGGATGCACTCAGCCAAAGGTCTTTCCATTTATTTTTAAAATGCAGCTCTGGCTGCAGCCACTAAGAGCACAGAGAAGCCTAAGCACAGTAAAAGGCACTCTGCTACGGGTTAGGCTCGCCTTCTCCAAGACTGAAGCAAACTCGCCTAACAGATGATGCTAACACGATCATCAACCAAGCCAGCACTGAAGCAAGTCAAGACAGCATGCCGATGGCTGATACAATAATTGTCAGCCTGAAAGTCATTTTCTCCAAAAGTTGAGCCTCTCTCTCTTCCTTTCCTTGCAGCCACGCTCAGCCAGATGACCTTGCAAAAGAGTAGTTAGGGTGTTGCCGCAAGATAAAGCAAACTTTCCCCCTCTTTTCCTTAATTTCTCTCCCTCTTTTCCAACCTTTGTGGACATTATGAACCGGGGGGGGGGGGGGTTAATATTTCCCCATAATCTAACCAAGTAGTAAAAGGATGCTTCCCCTTTTCTCCACCCTTCACAGGCATGGGAATGGAATATTCATCTGTTACAGTGGTTACATGTGTGGAACAGAAGTTGGACCTTCCAGGGCAGGCACTGAATTGTTATCATTATTATGTTTACAATGTGTGAGGGGGGGGGGGGGAGGGTTAATATTTCCCCATAATCTAACCAAGTAGTAAAAGGATGCTTCCCCTTTTCTCCACCCTTCACAGGCATGGGAATGGAATATTCATCTGTTACAGTGGTTACATGTGTGGAACAGAAGTTGGACCTCCCAGGGCAGGCACTGAATTGTTATCATTATTATTGCGTTGGTGGAAGATCTAACAGCCCTTTGTAAAGGCTACTTTGCTATACGACAACTAATGTCACCTTTCAAATAGCATTATTACATTTATAACAAATAACATACCCAGTCTTTCTACGCAAGGGAGACCCAGACATGCACTGTTCTGTACTCCATTTTATCCGCACAACAACCCTGTGAGGTAGGTCTGGCAGAGTGTGTCACCTAGCAACCTTCCATGGCGGGCTGGGGATCTGAGTATTACAGACACGTGACAGGTTGCTTAAAAGCTCTCTTATTATATGTTGCCTGTCATGAAGATAACCTGGTTCAGGGCGTTCCCGTTCCCTTCGTTTTGGGCACTGCAACTTCCATCATCATTCCGGGGTTGGTGGCCAGTTTCCAAGCACGGAGCGTTATTTTCTGATGAGTTACGCGGCCACAAACAGAGACCCTTCGCTTCCACTGCCAATAGCCCGGGGCGGTGGTGGTTTGTCTCACCTGGGCCAGGATTTCCCCATGCCTTCCCATTTTGGCCTGGGGATTCCCACAATCCTCCTGAAGCTGGTGGCCAATTCTGAGCCGCCTAGCTTCACTCTCTGATGAGTTATCCCCGCCAGCGTGGGTTAGAGGTTAAAGCCCAGGACTTGGATCTGGGACACCCAGGTTCAGATCCCCGCTCTGCAGTGGGAGCTTGCTGGGTGACCTTGGGCCAGTCACCCGCTCCCGGCCTAACCTACCTCACAGGGTTGCCGTGAGGATAAAAATGGAGGAGAAGAAAAGAGCATGCGCCACTTTGGGTCCCCACTGGGGAGAAAAGTGGGATAGAAGTAAAATTAGGTAAACAAACAGTGGGACAGACAGGCCGATTATTTTATCCATGGTGACAGCAACCCAAGGGAGGCCCACGGTGGCTCTCGGCAGCCCTGCCTTGACCTAGTGAGCCACCCAATGATGGCATCTGGCTCCATTACAGCTCCCACCACTGTTTGGAGGAGGGGGTTAGAGCATGGCTTCTTTGAGAGGCAGAGTCCTCCACCCACCCAAAACGCAGGAAGTTTCCATTTTCCAGATACTCATGTTTGCAAGTGCGTGGAATGTCACAGAAAAAAACGCCTCCTGTTGTGAGTGAGAATGCCTGCCCTCTCAGGGAGGGGCCATGCTCAGCGCGAGAGCCACTGGTTGGCATGCTGAAGGGGAGGAGGAGGAGGAGGACTTATGCCCCACCCTTCACCACTCAGGGTCTCAGAGCCGCTTACAATCTCCTTCCCCTTCCTCTCCCCACAACAGACAGACTCCCTGTGAGGTAGGTGGGGCTGAGAGAGCTCTGAGAGAACTGTGAATGACCCAAGGTCACCCACCCGGCTGCATGTGGAGGAGGAGTGGGGAATCAAACCCGGTGCTCCAGCTTAGAGTCCGCTCTTGACCACTACACCAAACTGGCTTTCTCTGCCCGAGACCCTGGAGAGCTGCTGTCCATCCCAGTA